CCCCCGCCCCAAAAAAAATCACCCTGATCACCCTTTTTTTTTTAATGTGCGCAAATGGCCCCACGCCGTCCCCTGCCCTCGCGCAACCCCATGGTGTGCGCGCGCTCTTTTTTTGACCAGCGTGCGCGCCCGAAACCGCTTTGAGCGCGTTTGAGCGCAGCAGGGGGGGTTTTAAGCGCGCGCTCGCGCTGATGCGCGCTCAAACGGTTTCATAGGCCCGGAGAAGAAGAGGGATCTGACGGGATTTTACTGTGTGACCTCTCTTCCTCTCCTTTGTCTATTCCCCCTCCACTCTCTTCTTTGATGATAATGAGATACTGTTTGAGATTTCACTTCACTATTTGGAGACTTTGATGCAGATAACGAAACAACTGATGTTTGAAGACTTCTGAGTATCTGCCCGACTGGGTTCATTTCAAAAACTGAAACTGAGTTTTTTGGCCGAAAACTCATCCAAATTTGCTGCTCCTGAGGGTCCGGCGTTCTCAAAACGCTAGACCCCCTGGATGTATGTGGACTTAGCATGAGACCATGTGCCGGCTCACATGCAGTCGTCTTGACTGCCACAGCCATGGTCAGCGAACCATACCCTGACATCTGACACCCCCGTTGGAGCAGACACCATCTGTTAGAAGGGCACTTTCTTTTCTTTTTTAGAGTTTTTTCCTTCATTTGTTTCGTCATGAAACCCTTTTGTGCATTTATTTTCCCTATTTCATGCTGCCACCCACTTGTCCCCCACCCGTCCCATACCCGTCACACTAATCCAAATACATGGGTAGTGGGATCGCACACTAATCCAAGATTCCAAATACATGGGTAGCGGGATCTCCCTCCAGGAGCCTAGTCCCACTTACACCGTTGACTTGAACTAGCTCAACGGTGTGACACATTTTTTGCTAATTAAAAATGTAGAACAAATGAGAAAAAACTTCAAAAAAGAGAATCAAATGCTGCTGAAATCTTTCATGCCTACTTTTCAAACAATTAAATGAAGAACCGAATGCCTCTGAAAGCTTTTGTCTGTATTTTCAAAGAAGTAAAACAGAGAAATAAAGCACTTCTCCGTGAAACGCTCCTCAGACAAGGCAAAGTGGGAGACAGGGACCTCACTAGAACGCGAAAAGAACATGGCTGGCTTGGTGCATTCACAGCCCAAATAGAGGAAACGAATTTGGGGCTGCACGGCCAAAGACAGCATGAAGACTCTCTGTCAGTGTCCTCCAGGGCTGTCACAGTGCCCTCCCCACGAGGAGGTAATGATGGCACAATCATCATTGAGCTCGCTGACTACTTTACCACGAGTCAGGTAGCTCACCGTCCACGTGAGGCCCACTGCCTCTCTCTGCTCCTCTCTGGACTATGTTAACTTTTTTATTTCACGATTGTGAACTTTTCCAGCTGCACAGCCACACTATCTTTCTTTGCTGAATGGATTCTATCACGGAGGTCGCCCTGTGTGGCCGGTGGTTGAAATATCAAGGAGGACCTGGTGGTTGAAATATCAAGGAGGACCTAGCTCAACCCGTAAATGGGACTTGGCCCTAGGGTTCAAATCCTACCAACACAGTGAACTCAAAATCTGAAGTACCTGGAGTCGTTCAGCCCTCTGATGATACCTCCAGGTCTTCCCTCTTCATGAAAACCAATAAAAATTTGACTCTTCTTGGTTTTATGAAATGATTAAAGGTGTCTCACACATCCCTTTCGTATGTGAGAGGTGGAACTCCCCAAGACTCGTTACAACCAATCGGCCACCAAAAAAAAAAACGAGGAATTATAGGCCAAAAATGGCATCTGCTTGGTCATTTCCTGTCCCCAAGAATGGCATCTGCTCGGTTGCTTCCTGTCGTATTCCCTCCAGTCTAATGATAAACAGGCGGGGGTTCAAATCCTGGTGAACTGATGAAGTGAATATGCCTGCGGKTATTCAGCCCTATGATGATACCTCCAGATCTTCCTGCTTAAACCACCAGTGCTTAGCCCAGCTATCGGCCGTGGAGAAAATATAGAGGAGAAACATTTGTGGTCGGATGTATTGGGCGCTCCTGCAGTAACCCGTACATGTCCGAAACCTAAATTGTGAGCCTTGGTCCACTACTGTGGGCTATACAACAGCTTGTTAAGTTTGTGGACAGCTGTCAGAGTGAGCAAAAACAGTCGAAGTGCGGCATTGCTCGACTACACAGCACTCCACTTTGTGAGTTCACTAGTACCAGACGCCATGACAGCACTACAAGACACAGTGTTGAAAGCGTTTTGTCCGCCCTGACTTCAAAGTAGTCGTCATTAGCTAAGGGTGCTGTGGAGTGATGTTTCCTAGAAATTCAGCTTTTTTTTAGTGGTGTCAAACTAGGCCCTTATTGTCCACTGTCCATATGAAAAACCTGCTCGGACAGTAGTCAGAAACCGGATGGACAATGGACTGTCCGCATCGTGAGTTCCTTGAAGGACTTTGCACATGACGAATTTCCCAGGCAGGGAACCATACAATGCTATGTATCACCCACGGTCGCGACCGCGGGCCATTTTACCGCCCGCGGTCGGGATCCAGGCCGCGGCGGCCGACCGCCCGAGGCCGAGTGCCGACATGAAACCCCGATAATTTTTTCAGGGCAAAAAAATAGGCCAAAAAAACAAAATAAAAAAATAGGCGTGTAGATAAAAAAAAGCTCTACACGCCTATGATTTTCAATAAATGTTTTTGACATTAAATAGAAAGGGAAAAAAAAAAAAAAAATGGAAAAAAAAACAAGCGGAGATGAAATTTCTTTTTTCATATTTTTGGTTTATTGGGCCGGTGGCGAAACACTGGCCCACACACACACAGACACACAATCAATCAATCAATCATGGCTACGCCGGACCCGGACCCAGACATTTCCGGACATCGAACTGGACCTGTGTCCGGTAGTTCCCGGACGCCCGGAATTCCGGACATCTCCAGACCTCCGGACATGGGGGGATCCGGACGGTCCGGGTGTCTGGACAGGTCCGGAAATGTCCGGACCATTAAAAAAAAAAAATCTGAAAAAAACGTATGCTATGCAGAATAACAATGCAAACCTCTTTTGCCTCAGAGTCATGTGAGAATTCCTAACCAAATTTGAGTTATAAGTCACAAACTATAAAAAAGCTTTAAAGAAGACTTCAAAACTAATAAAAGGTAATGCTTTATTAATAATTAAAAAATTGGGGATGTCTAATAAATTATTATAGAGAGAGAGCATGTCCGGACCCCCCAAAAAGGCATAAACAGGCCTGAAAAACCCCCAAAACAATTTTGGGGGCTTGGCTCCTCAATGGGGAAGGGTCCAAGACCGTTTCTTTTTCTTTTTTTTTCTCGAATTTTGGCAGATCCGGACCTTCCAGACCGGACGTCTGGAGTCCGGACTGAATCCAGACCGTCTCGACGGCGGTCCGTAGCCATGCAATCAATCAGTCAATCAACGAACCAATCCCAATCAATCAATCAATCAATCAATAGATTTAATTGACTGATTGATTGATTGATTGATTGATTAATTGATTGATTGTGTGTGGGAAGGAAAGGGTTTGGGAAGTTTGCCAGGAATGCTTACAATCGCGGAGCATTATTAGCTGCATATCTATATTGCGCTTTACGACAACAGAAAAGGATTCAGTTTGGCAGGAATGCTTATAATCGCGGAGCATTATTAGCTGCATATCTATATTGCGCTTTATGATAGCAGAAAATGATTCAGTCGATTTGCAAGGCATTTCCTACTTTTGTGGTATATCGCTCGCTCATATTTGTAGAGTACGATCAGCTGGGTAGGAGTGCATTTTCCTTTTCCTGCCTATGTTATGCTGAGTCTATAAAGCGCTCTAATGGCGTATGAGAAAAGCACTCTCTCATTTATCATCCCCACACGATGCCGTCCATATGAGGCGACATGTGCAAGGTCGAGATCTGCATGCGAGAGGACTTAACGCCTCTGCTGTACATTTCATAGCGCAATCTTCGCGAGAAAATTAAAATATATATATATTTCAAAAATATAATAAAAAATAATAATAATAATAATAATAATAAAAATATAAAAAGACCTTGCTAGCATCTACTCGCATTGTGCAGGTATTAAAGTGGAGAAGGCAAACACCCGCTTGCATCAACCGTACTCTATATTGTCTCTAAACGGCAATATGTGTAGAGTCGAGATTTCTTATATGAGGGCAACTCGTTCCTCTGTTGATCCTTGCTAACCAAGGTGCAACTGTTTTATTGCAAATAATTATTTCTTAAAAAATACACAATAACTTAAAAAGTGGAATAAAATAAATCAAAATAAAGGATTTATTGACCATAAAGAGCAAAGCACGAAAGAATTGATATACCTCGATCATTGTTTCCGCAATTTCTGGTTTCTAAGCGAAAAGCGATCATCGGTTAGCAAAGCGGATATTCTAATTATTATAAGAGCACGTAACTCGTACACTGATAAACTGATTTTTAATAGGGTCGATGCGTGAGGGTATGTAGTTCCTCGCTGGTTGTCCTTCCAAGATCTGAAGATGTTATAAATAAAACACATACGGGATATAAATCACACTTGCTCCCAAGGGGCACACAGATATTATGCGCAGGAGTTACCGTTTAAGCTAGGAGTGACCGTTTAAGCAGGAATGACTGATGCTTCGAGAATCTTTAATCCTTTGGAGCAAGTAGCACCCAAGGGAGAAAGAAAGATAGATGGAGTGAGAGAGCGAGCGAGAGAGCACGAAGGAGATTTTGAGGGTGACAGCAAGAAGGGGAGAGAGAGAGAGAGAGAGAGAGAGAGAGAGAGAGAGAGGAAGCGAAGACGCGGGGCAGGGTTATACCACGTTGTCGTCGTCGTTGATCAGACGATCCACCAAGTCCTGATCCACCTGGTAGTCCATAGTATTCCTCGGCAATGAACCAGCGTTGCTTCCGCAAAAGTCTCGTATCCGCCCATGAAACCAGAGCGAATGTACCCCGTAACCTCACTCGTATGCGCTCACTTGTACCTCCGACTAACTGCGCCAAGTTGCGTAATAGTTAGCGGTTGTGTGTCTGTTAGTGAGGTCCTTAATCCTACAAATAATGCAATGTTGTCGTCAATTCCCTGATAGTCGTAAGCCCGCATCCGAAGTTTTCGAAATTGGTTCTCAGTAAGGGCGAGAAAAAAAAAAAAAAAAAAAAAAAAAAAAAAAAAAAGGGGAAAAGAAAAAAGGGAAAAAAAAAGAAGAAGAAAGAAGAAAGAAGAAAGCAGAAAGAAAAAAAAACGGACGTCAGAAAAAGAAAAAACGCTAAGCGTTCGCGGCGCTCGCGTACTAATCCTATGAAAATGCAATGTTCTTGTGGTGCCTTTTTTCAAAAGACCGGTTCGACCCTTGGTATGGTTAGCCTTTTCGAGTCTGTGTTCATTCCGGATTTTTTGGCAAATGTACCGCACCTCACCACTTGGTCGATGCAGTGCACTTTGAAGTTGGTGGTCTTAGCTGCTATGTTCCCCTCTTTGAAGGCCAGTTGTTCAAAAACGTGCAAATTTTTTTTTTAAAACAAAATCAAAGACCAACTGTTAGGACTGTCGTTACTCTACTAAGTGTTCGTACGCTAACTATGATCTGTGTTTGGGAGAGATTTTCTTTATCATTTTTTATTGCTATCCGAAGTGCAAGTTACACTTCTTATTTTCCCCAAGTGTCTTAACATCCTACTCGACATCCCATAACTCATCTTCTTGGGAGTTATTTTTATTCTTTAGCATGATGTGTTCCTACCTCTTGTTGTGCCTGATGCTACCCTAGTGGTTGCTTCTTCGATCTCTCAGCTAAAAGACTTTCCCACAGGTCCAGAGTCTGCCTCATTTCTTCTTTTTCTTTTTTCTTTATTTATTAATGACCAATCATCTCTGGTGTGTGTTTTTTCCTCCGGGGGTTACCTGATTCGTTCCACCTGGTCCGCTGGTTCTTCCTCAATGGTTTTCCTCTATGCGCAAGTGTGTGTGTGTGTGTGTGCGTGTGTGTGCCCCACCCCTTTCCCGCCGGTTTCTGGCTTTATAGGGGCGGTAGGTATGATGACCGAGGGGCATCAGGCCTACTGGCCCTCAGCCCCCCGGCATCCACAACACACTCACATACACCACATCACAACAGTTAGTTACATATGAAACTGCACAATCAGGATACTACAAACCATGTTATCATCAAGTCCGTCAGGCTGATACTTGCCTCTGTTGTCGAACACCCTCTCCACAATCTTCCAGCACTGCCTTCTACAGAAGCCATTCGAAACTATTGTCTGTACCAGCCTGTTAATTTCGATAGCAGCATCCTGCTCTTTGGAACAGATGAGCAAAATCAGAATTGTTTGTGCGGTCCGTATCTGCAGTGATTGCGCGATGGATCAGTTTGATCTGAATTTCATGAATCTGATAGGATTGAATGACAAGCCTTTTTTCTTGTCGAGCTTCGAGGTCATGTAGTTACCATTCATGGTAAATGTGATTGTTAGTGAGAGGTTTAGGAAGTTGGAAGCTTTGCCATGCCCTTCCACCATCACCTCGGTGTTGTCCCTTACCTCAATGAACTCGCGTGGGTAGATTTGGCGAATTGGGTGCCCTCCCGGCATCCCATCCCTTAGGAATCCGGCAATGATTGTGTTGTTTAGAGAACACAAGTCATCGATGTACCTGTACGTGTCATGGAAGCAGCCTACCGCTTGCAGGTCCTGTATGTCGACCAACTGAGAGATCATCTGGAACTCGTACTTGAAGAAGTAGACATCACAAAATATGGGCAAACATGCCAACCCCATGGGGATGCCCAGGATCTGCTTCCACACCCCGTTGCCCATCTATACCACTCCATTGGATACGAGCCACTCACATGCTTGAATAATGCCTTGCTCGTCGAAGTACAGCCTGTCTCTGTTCCTGTCCTGATCATCGCTGACCCAGTGTAGATGCATTGATCCGTTGGCCGAAATAACTACAGCAATGACGTCCCTTACTGTCCTGGCTCTCCTCCACTCCAACGCACATCCTACAAAGAACCTTATGGCTTCCACCAATCTGTCTTCTGATCTGTCCATTAGATTTGTCTCAAAGCACTTGGTGATGTCCCCTGTGTAGGTCGAGTAGACCCGCCTCGGGAGATTGGCCACGAATTCTCCGATGGATGAGATTCGCCACCAGTAGTGCCACTCCATGCTCATCATATACATGTTGACTCTTCTTGGCGCAGAGTGCCTGACACTGCCTGTACATCGGCAGCCAGGAGATTGAGAAGGCAATCGCAGAGCTTGGCTACCGGGGATAGTACAGATCCTGCCGTGTTGGTTATCCATCTGAAGGACTCCTTGTGTGCCTTGTACACTGTCATGACATGTGGCAGTTGCGGCCTGCCCTCCAGAAGGCAGGCCGGGGCGATGGTGGAGGCTTCCTTTAGCAATCTCGCAGCAACCTGCGCCGGCTGCTCCGGTACTGGTACAAAGTCTGGTCCAGAGAGGCGTTGCAGCGCCAATCTTCTGATGAAGTTAATGCAAACAAAAGTGGTGGTGTTTGCAGCCTTGTCCGTAGGACAAATCAGGAATCTTCCCGCCAGCCATTCGATTTCACTCCTTATTGCGATTGCGTTGATTGGCTCCTCACTGATGTACATGTGCCTCACATAGTAGTCTCTTATGCTGGCTTTCACATTCCTGATTACCGTCTTCTTTACTTCCCTCTCTTCCTCCATGCTGAGTTCCTCATCGCATCGCGGGGTGGTTAAAATCTCGTCAAGTGCTCTCTCCACCTTACTCAATGCAAAATCTTCATCGAGAGCCCTAACCAGGATGTGGTTCAGTCCCGAGTTAATCATTAACTGCAGCTGCCCGTTGTTTGTGACGCCTGTGTCATTGGTGATGACATGCAGGTATCTATCCTCACGTAGGAGTCTCAGGGTAGCGGCGCTGAGGAAGTCGGCGTGCCTTCCTACTCCACAGGGGCAATTCCCTGCCTGACACTGCGCGTCCCATTCATTCTTCTTGAATTTCTTGAAGTCCTTGCCCAGTTTGCATAGCTTCGCACCCAGCGCCTCCCCATACCGCCAGCCAATGACCACTTCCTCCAACCAATCTGCAGACCTTTCGCCAACGACCTGCCTTAACACGTCCAATACCATTTTCCTTAATGCGACCACTTCCATGAGTCTGCTTGTGTATCTGATGTGTATGAACTGATTCCTCTCCTGCTTCTTTCTTTTCCAGGCTAGTCTTCCCGATGGCAGACGAACCATGCAGCCGCCCTCCTCTGGCTCAAAAACTTCTTCCTCCGCATGTCATCTCATGGAAGGCATTATAGTAAGCATGGATGGCTGAGTGGTACCTGATTGTTTTGGCCAGGTAAAGGAAAAAAGGCGAAAGAGAAACAGGGAAAAAAGAAGAAGAAAAAAAAGGGGAAAAAAGAGAGAAAGAAAAAAAGAAAAAAAGAGAAGAAAGAAAGAAAAAATAGAAAAAAAGGGAAGAAAAGAAGAAAGAAAAGCGACTAAAAATAGAATATATTAAAAAAGATTAAAAAAAAAGTTAAGAATAAAAAACGAATTTGAGGAGCGGGTGCAGAGCGATTTTATGATCCCGTTTAACGACAAAGAGATACCATTGTCAGGTAGTCTGACTCTTTTGCCTTATTATGGAGAACGAATGCCTTGATTCCTCGCTCCTCCGTTGCTTGACGTGGCTCTGTCCCCCCGTTCGTGCCTTATGGAACCTGCGGTTGAGATGGCTGAACCTCCTTGTGATGGTAATCTATCTAACCCGCTCATGCTTYGTGTGTTGCGCCTGTCCACCTATCCTCCGAATGCCATGTTGTGCACTGCCCTTCCGCCCATCTGCTCGGCAATGGGGGGGCCACCACCCTCATGATTCCGTGGGGGATGCTCCTCGCTTCAATCTTCTTTTGGTGGAGGATTCCTAGGGGCGTCCCTGTCTTCGTGCCTTGCCCTGGGTTCGAATGGCAGTACCCTCTGCCTGGGCGAGACGATCAACGGAAAGTTGTTGCGCTGCCTCTTTTGGGCATTCCCTTGATTGTYTGGTGAATTTCGTGCCCTTACCCYGGGGTTGCCAGTCACCCTTGTAGGCAGGAGTACCCTCCCTATCGTAATCAGGGTGTTATACTTCCATCTGGCTCTATCGATCACTGGCTCTGAGGTGAGGGACGAATCTCTCTCCAAGGCTAGGATGGCGTGTGTCATGATCTCACGTATGAACATAAAGGTGAGACAGGCTTCGACTGCTGGTTTCCACGAGACTCGCAAGAAGTGAATGAACGTGGAAGTCTTAACTTTAATGGAGGCCTCGTTTGGAAAGAGAATATCAGGATAATCAAGCAGATACCAGATCGCATGGTCCATTCAGATCAGACCTCCTCCACAGTCTCTCTTCCTCTCTGTCGCGCACTTACATCTAAGGTACGGTCTGCCTACATTCCAACATTTCCTCAATCCCTTGAGGTCGATCTCAGGACCGGTCTTGATTTTTTTCTACCACATCACTGGGCCAGTGTAATCGCACTTGGTGTGATCCAGAGATGACACACAAGGGAATTTAAGCGTATTCGGACAGAATGCTGGTTTTTCCGTTGGACAGTAGGGTAGAGTCCCAGTCATCGCGTTGGCTTTGCACGTCGCGACTTGTTGCTGGGTGAGGTTAGCAAGGAAAACAAGTGCGTTTACGGAGAAGGGTGCAACATAATTAAATATGTCTAATTTCCAAAGTGCATGCCGGAACCCAATTCCCGTGTGCTCCACCCAATGCTGCGAGGGGAGAGGGGCGAATGTTGTATACTGCCTCCTATGTGGCGAGGGTGTTATAACAGGACTGTGGCCTCCGGAGGCGGTAACAGCGGCGATGGCAGCATTCATCTATAGCTCATCGTCATCCATGGCCAAAGCATCAGTTATGGTGCAATCCGCCAAAGGGGCTTCAACCGCTTGTCACTGAAGGTGGGAGTGATCCAGGCCCCTGATTCGTAGGAAGGTTTGTTCGACAATCGGAGTCCTAGCTGGCAGTTCAATGCATTCCTTACCGTAATTGGTTTTTCTCTGCTCCAACAGGTTGGCTGTGTGGAGCAACTTCTCATCAAACGATTCCCTGCCCCTATCCCATGCACATGCAAGGTTAGCAAGATCGCTAAAACCTATGAAGGAAAAAAAATTGGGGAAATTCCTGGTTTCGGTCAGAACCTTTGTCGCGCTCTGAATCTCTGGCTTCATGGTGGCAATGAGGGCTTGGGCGGGCTTGTTGGGCCATGCTTGCCCCTTAAGTCAGTCATACTTGGCGGTGACTTCGTCCCACCATCCTCCAGGGAAGCACTCCTTCGGAGGGACCTGCAACAGCAAAGAAATGATAACAGCAAAGACACAAACACACGGGAGAGGACGTTGTTCAAGGAACCGATAGAGGGAGACACACTTACCCAAGCCGCTCTCGAAGTTTTTAAATATTGATGCTCCCGGCCCGAGACTCCGATCAGATTACTGCCCCCAAAGATTCGGCGTTTCTCCTGGTATTACCCTGTGCTTACTATGTCTGGATGTCTCGGGTGATGCGGTTGGTGGGACACACCACCAACAGTGCTAGCGGGAGGATCCCTCCACCTTGTTGTGTGTTAAAGTACCACATGAGAAAAATCAATATGTCGCAACGTGACACGATACACGTATCACAGTCAAGCTCCGAAGTAATATATCGGCGCATACCCCCATCCTCCTTACTTGGCATGCACAGGCCTTCTTTACCCAACTTGCCAGATACGGGGCATAACTATTGCCGGTTCAGTCTCTTCATCAGGACATAGATCATAGCAGAAGGCCAAAGGTCGAAATCCCCGGGATCGTTGTCTCGCTATCCGTAAGCACGTAAATGAGGGAGAGTACAGGAAAGCATGAGAAAGGTCGGAAGAAGATAGAAGGAAAGGGTTTGGGAAGTTTGGCAGGAATGCTTATAATCGCGGAGCATTATTAGCTGCATGTCTACATTGCGCTTTATGATAGCAGAAAAGAATTAAGTCGATTTGCAAAGCAGTTCCTTCTTTTGTGGTATATCGCTCGCTCATATTTGTAGAGTACGATCAGTTGGGTAGGAGTGCATCTTCTTTTTCCTGCCTATGTTATGCGGAGTCTATAAAGAGATCTAATGACTTATGAGAAAAACACTCTCCCATTCATCGTCCCCACACGATGCCGTCCATATGAGGGGACATGCAAGGTCAAGATCTGCATGTGAGAGGACTTAACTCCTCTGCTGTTCCTTTCATAGCGCAATCTTCGCGAGAAAAAAAAATAAAAAATTATAAAAATAAGAAATTAAAAAAAAAAAAAAAGACCTTGCTAGCATCTACTCGCATTGTGCGGGTATTACAGTGGAGAAGGCAAACACCCGCTTGCATCAACCGTACTCTATACTGTCTCTAAACGGCAATGTGTGTAGGGTCGAGATTTCTTATATGAGGGCACCTGGTTCCTCTGTTGATCCTTCATAACCAAGGCGCAACTATTTTATTGCAAAGAATTATTTCTTACAAAATACACAATAACATAACATAATAAAATAAAATAAATTAAAATAAAGGATTTATTGACCATAAAGAGTAAAGCACGAAAGACCAGATATACCTCGATCATTGTTTCCGCGATTTGTGGTTTCTAAGCGAAAAACGATCATCGATTGGCAAAGCGGATATTCTAATTATTATAAGAGCATGTAACTCGTACACACATAAACAGGGCCCATGCGTGAGGGTATGTAGTTCCTCGCTGGTTGTCCTTCCAAGATCTGAAGAAGTTATAAATAAAACACACACGGGATATAAATCACACTTGCTCCAAAGGATTAAAGATTATTGAAGCATCAGTCATTCTTGTTTAAACAGTAACTCCTGCTCATAATATCCGTTTGCCTCGTGGGTCCGTTATTATGCGTAGGAGAGTCCCGATTCTCCTTGATGGGAAGGTAGGAGTATCGCATGAACAATCGCAAAATGCGACGACACACATATGCCTCGATCATTATTTCCATGGTGCAAATAGAGAACGATTCATGGATGTCGAAGAGAATATTTCACTCATCATCAGATCATGCATTTGCTAAAAAACAATTTGTAAGCGGTTAGACTGGTATCGATGAAAGGATGCGAATCATTATGCTTGCAACAAACTCCAAACCATGGTAGCGCCGGATCCGGACTCCAGACCTACCGGACCGTCTGGTCGGACGCACGTCCGCACCTCTCCGGACCGTCCGGACTTTCGGACATGATCCGGACCTCCGGACCTGTCTCTTATACACATCTAGATGTGTATAAGAGACAGGCCCTATGATGATACCTCCAGATCTTCCTGCTTAAA